TGAGACTAGATATCGTGTTAGTTTGGACATCGTAATATTTAAGCATCGTCTTTCCTTGGTTTTAAAAGCTGCATTACAGTAAAGAAATGTAATTTTGAAGTTACCAGACTATTCTGTTTTATTTAACTTTACCCACATAGTCATTATATCCACATTACTGATGGTTATTTATCAAAAAATTGTGTAAATATTTTGTGAAAGCCCCAACAGTCCACCCTATAATTTCACTGCAATATCCATGTTGAGGTATTTGGTCAGAAATCTTGTAATATTTGATTTTCTCCACGTCGTCCAGCCCTAACTTAATCGAATAGTTTAAGCATGAAGTCCAAATGTGTTGCATGTGTGAAGGTATTTGATGAACACAGAGTGCGCACACGAGGGTTGACTGTCCTGTCAGGACAAGGGTGCGGCTGCTTCAGTGGTGCAGCTGTGATACCCGAGCGGGCATATTCCACAGGGGGCTCGAATTAACTGCTTTAGGGCTCAGGCTGCTTCGAGTATGATTTATCTGCGGCCCGGCTCAAATGAGAGCTCTGACACAAGATGGATGAGGACATGGGCTGCCTCGGCGCTGCTCACTGGTCCATAGGCTGGCTCTTTTTACAGTCAGGATATGATAAATGATGTTTGGTTTTTACCCCGAGGCTGAATTACTTGTATTTCTCACATGAGACAGACTCTTATTTGAATGCATGTGATGCAGACCTGTAGGACTGCTGCTCAACAGGCTTGACAATAACCACAAGTCTCATGTGTGGTTTGTTTACTAGCCTGCTTCTCCTGCAAGAGAAAAGCTTTCCAACCTACGTGCGTCTCCACGACGAGTAGCTGGAATAGAATGTATTGTTTAATATCAGCACAGATGCTAGTGGGCAGAGCTGTGGCCCATGATGAGCATAACTCAGCCTAACACACTATCAAGTGTGAACTCATAAATATTTCATGCGAGTCTTTTTGGAAGGTCAAACGCAGGATTTAATCTTCAGTCAGTCAGTCACCGAGCGCGCGGCGTGCTCTCATCTGGGCTGAGGGGGTCTGAACTCAAGACTGCAGCCCATGCACGGTTTCATCGACCCAGGCTGCACGGCCCCTGCAGCCAATCAAAGCTCATTATCCATTCCGGTCCCCACCCCCATCACGAGACCCCTGACTGCCCATACTAATGTAATACAGAGCAGCCAGATGCTGTTGGGCAGCAGAGGGAGGATTTTCAAAGGTTAACCCACAACGCATGACCCACATCAGTGCTGGACTCCCAGACCTCTGTGAGGACACCACTGCTGAAACGCCCTGTGGGGGTTAGATCATGTGGTGTGTCTGTCTGTGCACGCCATAGAGTTCAAATACGAGGCAAACACACACACACACACCATGCAGATTTATAATAATCAGATTATTACCAGAACAGTGCCAACAGCGCTGCACAGATTAATGTCTGAGCTCTGTCCTGCATTAAAAAGAGGTGTTGAGGTGCAGGAGGAGCACACGCTATCTGCTCCAGTGTCTGATGGTATGCAGCATTATCAACAAAAGGACGTCAGGGAGAAGCCATGAAGCCAGCTTGTGTGTATCAGAGCAGATGTATTGTAGGATACCTCTGTGGGCAGCAGGAGCCACGTCACTCCTCTCCTCATAGCAACAGTACTGTTGACCTACATGCTTTCTACACAGCCTACTCCGCCTGAGGTGGTGGAAAACTATGCAAATCCATAGCAGATATCGACCTCCTCGCGCATTTTTAAAAATGTGCATACGAATTACACAAACTTGCATATCGGATTTCCTGCTAATACATGCATGCTCTCTGCTCCATCCTGCAAGAAAAGCGTTACGGCACCGATTAAAATCAAATGCATGTCAATGAGTCAACACATGAGGGGTGAGAAAAATTAAAACTGCATACAAAGTGCTTTTTCCCCGCACAACCAGTCACTATTTTATTGGATGAAACATGATACAGGTCTCAAGCTTCAGCTTCAAAATGCAACAATGCAACCATAAGCCACGTTTATGAGCAGTACATTACAGATTCAGATACACCACGGAGGCAAGCTGCAGCGATAGCGGTGTGCATTACCTGTTATAACCGTATAAGAGCGATGCGAGCAGGGCTTTTTCCCCCTCCTCTCTCTCGGCTGAAGTGGAGACACCAGCACTAGCAAGGCAGTAGCTTGCGCAGTCATCTCCATAGCGGGCAGTGTCACAACCCAACCAACAGCACAAACTACTACCTCAGCCAGTACGTGGTCACAAAGCGAGAGATAAAAACGAGGACATTAAAAGACACGACTGAAAAACGCCGAAGAAATGCACCGTCTCGGCTCCAGCGACATTCCCATGCAGCCGGAGACGCTCCGTCCTCTCTCGCTTCGCTCCTCTCTTCTGTGCAGACTTGAAATAAGAGGTAAACCCCGCCCAAGCAGACCTGCTCCGTCCGCTCTCCTCCTCCTCCTCCTCCTCCTCCTCCTCCTTTTCTTCAGTGCAAACCACAAAACGTTCCTTTCCCCTCATATGACCTACTGGATGATAAGAAACTCGGGCTCGAGGGCCTCCAGGGGACAGTGAGAGGGAGCAGAGGGGTCCCTGCAGCATGCAGAGGTGGGTACCCGTGTCAGTTTGTGTGTGTGTGTGTGTGTGTGTGTGTGTGTGGGCACTGAGCACAAGGATTGTAGGTGTAAAGAGGTGTTTTCTATTCCTGAGCTCTCCCTGTTGTCACTATAACCCCACCTACTGTACAGAGCTGATAGCATACTGTCAGTACAAGAACACACCTGACCACCAGTGTCCAAAATATTCTCTTTAAAATGTCCCTCAAATTCAAATTATGCGGGACATAAAAATCAATATGTTACACTTCTGTGTATTTTGGGAATTATATCAGTGTGTTCATAAAATAACTAAAGTAATGAACATAAATGGAGGACAATATTTCTGATACATTAAAATGATAAAATATAGTGAAACAGTATAAACAGCATTGTTGCACAGGAGTGACACAACAGGACTTCATTACGTGTTACCTGCTTGTAAAAAGAACCGGTACTGAAAATCTTTTATTCCCTCTGCTGTTTGTCTTTAAATGCTCTGTAAATTTTTCACAATAATGTGTCTATTAACTTTTATTATTCATAGAATCTTTTATTCCACTGAACTCCTTGGAATATTTTCTATTTCTTTTTTTAAATTTTATTACTCAGTTATTTATGTGATTAATAAAGTTATCCAAATCTGAATCTGAGATATTCAATTTAAGGGTATACTACGCAGAATTTTCCTAAAAACTAATGCAGACTCATACACAAGTAATCACTCTCACTCTCGAACTCAAGTTTATTTGCCCCCTCAGTGCAGTTTGTTTGGGCAGGTGTGAACACAGCAATCACATTCAGGTGCGCACCAACACAACCAGACCGAGACCTTCTTGAACACACAGTGTACCTGTTTTAACTAAATCTCCGTATTAATTGGCTTATGGATTATTTCAGTCACAAACTCCAGTTAGGCTGCACATTCTTCACAAGGGGGAGCTTTTTTCAGATACTGTCAGACCTGTTCTGCATGCTAAGTGATGACGGGAATCACAAGGAGACAGCAGTTCTGACCATAAACTGTGTAAAAATAATGGACATTGCTATCTTAAAGTCAACCACTCTGAAGCCCTAAGTTTGGCATTCTTCACCATCTTGGATTCTTGAAGCCACAAGTGACCACATTTAGATTCATTTAAATTAGTTTTCATATAAATCAACCTTGGTACACTTGTTATGAACAGGAAAATTATCTATAGAGACCCAAACCATTTTTTGTACCAGGCTGTAAACATGTTTATTTCTGCTGTAAAGTCAGGTATTTTAACACAGGTGTCTATGGGGATTGACTTGCTTTTGGAGCCAGCCTCAAGTGGCCATTTGAGGAACTGCAGTCTTTGGCACTCCTGACTAAGCCCCCAGGAAGTGTACCTGGCTTTTAAGACAATTTTTGTAGTGGCCAAACAGTGGAATTGTAACCTCTGAGACTTTTTCCCTTAAACCTATACTAGGAAGGAGACATTTAGGTAAATTTTTTTGAGCATCATAACCCCTGCAAAATGCCTCGTTTCACTATCTGGATTTAGTCCGTTTGACCTGATAATATTTGGAAAGTCCAGAAGAGCCACAACATTAAATCATTTTATCCCCACTTAAGTTAGCTGAGCACAGGGGCGTTGGTAGCGTAGTGGATAGTGCTGGTGCCCAATGTACAGAGGCATTGCCTCTCTGCAGCGGTCGTGGGTTCAAGTCCGGCCTGCGACCCTTTGATACGTGTCAGTCCCAATTCTCTCTCTGTCTCCCCATTTCACACACTGTCCTGTCAATTAAAGGCAAAAAACCCAGGAAAATAATCTTTAAAAAAAAAAAAAAGTTAGCGGCGCGCTAGACCTGAAGTAGCCAGCTCAGCATGCGGAAGTCTCTGGTGTGCCTGCTCTATGAGCCCAATGATGTAGTTGCAGCACTGATTTTTGGCTTTTTTGTACCGCCAATGCTGTATCCATGTCTCTTAATACAGTACAATCCATGGTTTTGACCAGCAGACATTTAAAATCCGCTGCCTACAGGCAAAGAAAGAAGCAGCTACAATTTAAACACCTGCCCCACCTGCAGGCAAGAGCGGTTGTAGCTGCTGCTTTGTTTAGTGTGTTTGATAATGAAACAATTATTTGTAGGTGAATCACAACAACCACCTTGATGAACTGTAACAGATTTACACCTACGGTTGTGGTGACATTTTAACGAGGTTCGGTCCATTTGATATTCAAATAATTCTAATATTAATCTTTAGATGAGGACACTACAAATATTATTCTGAAATAAAAGTGACTGCTGCAGGGGAATCCTGGCTGATAGTAAGACTCTTCTTTTCATCAGGGATGTCACATTTTGAAAAACGGGTTTGATATTAATAGCTAATTATTTTGACCTTAACATGCATTGTAACTGAGCACACTCGGAGCACAGAGCTGATTGTAGAATTGTCCCATTTATTTTATACAGACAAGTACATCCCTTCTCAGATGGCTGGCTAAAGATGACATGGAATGTTACAGTAAGATTTGTTTTCTTGCATAAAATCCTCACTGTTGAAAATGTTGCAAAAATCTAAGTGTTCATTCTTAAGATCAATAAAGCCCCGGTTTTTGCATTTGTTTTTTGTTTTTTTTCGTTAATTACATCATCAACACTATCACCACACACTGTACATCGACTCGGCCTCATCGGAGAATAAAACAAACTAAATTCAGAGGCAACACTGCAATTTTTTTTTTTAAATCTCTGTAGTTAACACAAGAGTGCAGCCAGTCTTTATGAGAATGGAGGGGGCAGAGGCGTAATCAGCTCACATGAGAAGCATACGATGATGCATATGAAGGTCGGGGTCATCAGCGTGGTCCGAGCGGTCCCCTGCTTACCGTGGGTTGCTTCATGTCACCGTAGATGGGGTTCACGTGGAGTACACGTCCGTGCGCTTGTGAAGCACGTGGGTCAAGAAGACACATTCAAGATTTCTTCATTATAAAAAACAAACGAGAGCGAGCCTGGTCAGGACTCTCCGTTCTGGACTCTGGAGACGGGTGGCTGCATAAAGTCTTTAAAGGGCCCCAGGGCCTCCTTCAGGGCTGAGCTCACCTCAGATGAGGAGCATGTAATGCACTCTACCAGTGTGGGGTACAGGGCAATCACTTGAGCCCATGTGTTGCCGTCCACTGCAGGCAGTAAACAAGAGAATCACAGAGCGAGAGGGGAAAAAAATACAAAGGAGGAGGAGTGGGGATGGGAGGGAGAGGAAGAAGAGAATATCAATTGTGATAGAAGGCAATCAGAGAAATCATTTCCTGGATAAAATTCCCACAGGCGTATGGAAATGAGTTTTGCTCTGAATAAAGGACGATGTAATGCAAACATCTTGAAGGGCACTTCAAAAACGTAATTTTAGAACGACTTCAATCTACCGCGGTTAAAAAATAATCATTTCTTGTAATTGACCTTGCTGGAAACGTAAACAGTTTTACCCAGATTGGAGATAAAACTCATTTGAAAAGTGGTCCCAACTGTACTCTGACACATTTATCTGAAATGAATAGATGATAGATACGGTGGCATTGTTATATTTTTCAAGCTTTTTCACAGCGTCACCTCTCTCTAAGATCTGTTTAATCCTTGACACAGTTTGATACTCACCATTTTCTGGCTGTGTCTTTTTAAGTGAGTCCATCAAAGTGCTGATAGCTTTCAAAACAAAGATAATCTCTGTCACTTGTTGCCTGGAACGAAAAAGACCAAGGACCTTCATTAGCTACAAAGACATACAGTACAGAGAGCCTGGAGATGTTACAGTTCGAGGAGAGAGGGGGAGAGAGTAAACACCTGATTTAAATATGTCTTTTTTTTTTCTGGTGAGAGCTGTTGAGTGCAAAGTTATAATTCTTTTAGTGCATCAACCCACTAAGCCTTTGAAAACCATACTAACCTTTATGAGATAGGAAAGCTTTAGCGCGTAAGGGGTAGAGAGAGAGGGGGGACGGCATTGTGACAATCCCTCCGCTTCACTAGGTGTGCCTGTTTTCCTGGCTGTTCTTTTTTTGTTACAGGATGCGGGTCAAGGCAGAAGGCTGTCATTAACATCATGAGCCACACCTAAGCCTGGTGTGCTTCATGATATAAAGGCCCAATCCCATTTCTATCCCTTAAATCTTCCACTTGGTATTGAGTGCCCTTGTTTGCGAGATAACCCTTGATGAGAGAAGTGAGAAATATTATGGTAGAGATCTTTCCCTAAGAAATGAGTCACCACTTCATGCAAATCGGCGTGGCGGATGTGCACGCGTAGTAGCGACGCAAGATACCGGTAGTTATTCAGGTTTGAAAATGCCGGCTCCAGCGCTTGTGTTGTGGCGTGTGCTATGTTTATTCTTCTCTGTCTGATGAATCAACAGAGAAGAAATGCTGGAAACAGGAGCCGCCTACAACGTCTTCTAGTTCTGATCGATTTTCTTCCGGTAAGTCGATTTGTTTAAATATTTTGATGCTGTGTTCAACCGAGTTGCTGATCAATTTACGCTAGTCCAACCACCTGTTGTTTGTATAGCCTACATTCCGATAGTACAGTAACAAATTGTACCCTAAAACCTGCCGAAGTTGCTGACTTCGCAACGTGTTCTGGTCGGGGCTCCCTTGGAATCTAGGGCGTGTTTTAAGTGTTGGAAACCACTTCCACTACCTCAATTCTGTTTTGGGGCACCACTAGCCTAAACGTGAACGCGCACAACCAAGTGCAAGCGGGTATTTCTCGGGGACTGTGGGTATTGGAACAGGCCCAAAAGCTCATTTCCACACACCCATACAGGCAGACATGACTGTTCACTGACTTTCACTTTTACTCAGTTATTTATCTTTTTTTTTTTTGTAAATGAATATGCTTTTAACGATTTATATACTCGTCTCGTCTCGTCTCCCAATATTGTTGCAGTCAAAGAGCCAGGATGTAACAACATGCAGCAAAAGGGCCTGAGTTGGATTCTGCCAGGTGAGCTAATGGGTGCCCCTACATCGACTAGCTTTTAAGCATTGTTTGAGCATGGCTTGGACAGAGAGGGACGAAATTTGTGATGGTGCGTCATTGCATCGCCCTGAAAAAGGGACAAAAATTAGCGCTTCCATTCTTGTGTCATTTTTCCACCACTGCCCGTGGAGCTTGAGCCAACAACTACCCATAACTCCTGCAGAGTCATTTGTCCCTGGAGTGAATGCCGATTGTGACCGTTCCCACTAAAGACAAAAGCCAGATGTTAGTGGGTGTTTGTTTTGTTTTTTTTCCAAAGAGAAAGGGGCTTAAGATTCATTTTCCCTCCACTGTACATGAGATAGGAGGCAAATCAGTATACTATGGTCATGATCATGCAACATGTTGAGCTGTAGCAAGCAGCGAAAATAGACGAAATGTTGCTCAAGAAATTAAATACAATCAAGTGGTCAGATTTATGAGAACTTGATGGTGTGCTGTGGTTGGGTTATGGTGTTGCATTACAGCCACGGGAAAGACCTTCTCCTGCTTGTATCTTACAAACAAACTTTTATAATGTACAATTTATAAAAAGTATCTGCTGTAAAGTATGCAGTTTTACAAATACATCAATATAAGAGTACTCCAGCTGTACCACAGTACTCCTATGACAATGTGCGACTCATGATGGACAGTGAGGGGGATTAAAAGGTCGAAACTGACGCAGCAGAATCTGAGCATGTGAGCTGACAGGCAAAAACTGCACACTAAACACCAAAACACCTCCCCCCATTTCATGAGTTGCTCTAAAAGTACCCAGATACCAGAGCTATGCTCAACAGACTGAGCAGCACAAGACCCGAATTGTGGAGCAGATCCAGAGATATCGTCTTTTATGCATCATTTTTCTCATGTTTTTCTTTTATCTTGTTTCAATGTACCAGTATTAAAAATAACCATGATATATACATTGAAATATTGATATTGTGTTAATAAAACACATATGATAATATCATGTAAATAATCCAGCGCCTCTTAAATCACTTCCGTTTGTTCTTGCACTGTCTCCCTCTCCCAGCACCATGCGGTTTCCTTTTCACCATCTGTTAAAAGTGTAACTGCTCTTTTTGTACAGTTATGGTTACTGACTCTCTCTCCGCCATGCTACACTTGATTTTGAGTGTAATTCATTTGCCAAAAAAGAGACAAAATGCAAAATAAACAAAGTTAATAGCATTCCCCCCCCCCCAAAAAAATCATGATTATATCTTTTGGCCATGATAATCTTGAAGTGAAGTCTGATATTGTGCACTCTCCAAGATCTGTAAACATACTCCGATGTGTAAAATTATTCCACTCTAAGTCTAACACAGATTTGTAATACACTGGATTTACATAGCGCTTTTCAGGATACTCAATAAGATGAAATAATCAATAGGGAGGTAGAGAGGGAAATAATGCAGACAGGGCGAAGTACACTCATTTTAGAGGTTATAGGCAGTTTGAAAAGGTGTGTTTTGAAGGTTTTCTTCAAGGTGGAGAGTGAGGGGGAGTCTCTGATGTCTTTAGGGAGTGAGTTCCAGATGGTGGGAGCAGCAATGGAAAAGGCCCTGTCCCCCCAGGTGCGGTAGTTAGTCCTGGTGGGGAGGGGCAGGAGGTTTGCATCAGCAGACCTGAGAGTGCGGGAGGGAGTGTGCTGGTGGAGGAGCTCAGACAGGCTTCATAGGTGATGATGAGGAGTTTGACGTGGATATGCTGGGGGGCGGGGAGCTAGTGGAGGTTATGAAGGACAGGGGTTATGTGGTCGCGGGAGTGTGTGAGAAGACGAGCAGCTGAGTTTTGGATATACTGTAGTTTCTTCAGTTTTTTGGCTGACAAAGCATTAAGGAGACTGTTGCAGTAGTCCAGTCTGGTGTTGTATGACGTGAAACCATTTCTTATTTTTCATATTGTATATAATTTGCTCTTCAAGCTGTTTTTTACATGCTCTAATGACATTATGCAATCCATGATTTTCTCATTCTCACATATTTTAAATCTCATTTTAAAATATTTTGTTTAAAATGTTTGAATTTAAGCAACCTTGCAATTGCTTTTAATATGTACATCATAACTATCCTATTTTTATGAACTTCCCCAAACACCCATTTGCTATTTTCTGTGCTGATGGCGCAATTTCCCCTTGGGAATCATTTAACGTTCATCGTTGCTTAGGAGGCAAAAAACAGAAGCGTGTTGCAGAATGAAGCGTTACACCCAACACTTAAATAAAGTGCTAGTGTGCAAAACTGGAGAAATACAGTGGTTTTGTGCTGTTTACGAGAGAGAAAATGAAAAATGATGGATGATGGGTGATGGATGCATAGCTGGAGCTGCGGTGGTCTTGGTTTTGCATTGTGAAATGTCTCAGTGGTAAAATGATGTCGCTAACAAACACCAGTGTTCAGAGCTGAATTTCTGATTTTAGTCTGTCATGAAACATGAAAAAAAAAAAAAAAAAAAAAAGGTGCGTGGGATGTACCTGGGCAGGGGGCAGCGTCCACTCAACCTCTCATCCTCTACGTAGCGTCGGAGAACATCCTGGGATCTCTTGAGCAGCACAGAGAGCGCCATGCGGGAGATGTAGCCCTCCTGCGGGGTGGACACCTTGTTGCTGAAGGAAAACTGCAGCAGCGTCTCAAAACACACCTTAGAAAACTCCTCCCTCATCCGCACATCGATCTCTGCCTCTGTCAAGGGAAAACCCTTTGCATGTTAGACATTCTGCTGACGCCGCTTGCCAGAGTGATTTACAATGAGTGGACAGACGGGGCTTTACTGTCTTGAGGAGTTTGACAGAAGCCATTGTTGGTGAGGAGCCACAGGGAGGGCTTTTGCAACAAACCAATGACTAAATCTTTTCAGTATGATTCCAGCACTTGGCCAATCTCGCTGTCCCATCAGGGATACAAAGTAAACAACACAGCTGAAGTCAAATTATTTTAGCTGCCAAAGTTGCATCTTACCTGTAAATGAGGGAGACTGAGAGTGAATGGAGCCTCTATTGAGCATAGTCATGATCTGGCCAACAAAGTCTTTGGGGATGAAATTGGCAAACGGTAAAATTTCTGTGCTGATCAGCTGGACCACCTAAAATGAGGAGGACACAAAGCTGGTGTTGGCTCCCACACAGAATCACACTGACATGCTGGGGGCTAGAAACAAGTATTTACCTCGACATCAATCGCTTCATTCTTCTGAAATTCCTGGATGGACAAGTTATCTGGAGGTGTGCTATAAAAGGGAAACCCCAATGAGTTTGGCACTCAGAGCTTCGAAATTATACATTCTAAACTTTAAATGTGTAAAGCTGTACCTTTTGGTAAAAAGAAAGTCTTCAAAGGCATTGGCTAACTCTGGCCACATGGTGTCGAACTTTCCTGATGAGGCGTGCTGGCGTGCCACCGGCAGTCCAATAGACAGCACCTTGAGCAGAGATGACACAGCAAGCTTCCAGGTGCTCTCTGATGGACAGGCATACTTCAAACCCAAGGGCATTCTTAAAGTCTGAAGGGTGAATGGAAAAAGAGGAGGAGGAGGAGACAGCAACAATAAAACATCATGAGACTCAAACACAGAGTAAGACTTCAAGGTAAAACCAACTGCAGCGCCCTGCACACCTTTCACCGTCCTCTTTCATACTGAAATGTGAAGAGACTTTAATTCATAGAACAAACATCAAAGCAGGAAACAGTTTCTGCAGGTAGTGGTCCTATTCGTTCTACAAAAGCAGACAAAGTAATAGACTGTCGTTTTGACAAAGCCCTCTTTTCAGAGAACAGCTGGGTTCCCCAAGGTTGAGATTTTACAAGTATTGCCTTCTTGTTTTGGAGACAAAAAGGGGTGGGGGCCAGATTTGGATTTGTCCACTGGGAGGCTTCATAATAGCTCCTTGGCAAATTAACTCTCCTCAGTTTGAGGTTTCTTTTAAACAGACTCTGGGAAAAGAGCAGTTAAACGCAGGTGTCAGAAACCGGGTAAAATAGAAGACTCAGTGTCAGCTTTAAGAGGTCGAGGCTTTTAGTGACTTGCACTGACAAAATCTTTTGGTTTCTGAGAGACTGCATTCAGAAAATACTGATATTTGGCACCAACTGCACCTCACATCTGCTGCACTGAAGATGTAAGCCTTGAGATCAATACTGCTGGACACTGACTGACTCCTCAAGACAGCTAACAGAATTAATTATTTCAAAACATACTCACAATATTCAGTTGGCATATTCCTAACTGATTCACAGTTAGCCTGTTAGAGGACATGACATGACTACGACTTCATATCCACAATGTGTCTGTTTGTTAGAATCTGCAACACCTCATGGTATTCAATATCCATATAAAACGTGGTGCTCTGCCCTAGTAAGCAAATGGAAAACACCTGTTGTGACATCACTGATAGGACACGCCAGAAGTTCAACTTGCCTAAAGGTTTCATCCCACAGATAGCAGTGCAGCAGCAATTTCCTGTCCTGTGTGATTCTGTGTTTATATACTCTTAAAATTATAAAACCGTCTCATAACATCACTCCACACTTTCTGACTGCACTGCACAGGGTTCAACAAATACTGGTACTCAAAGGGCTGAGAGTTCTCTAATTGCACTATGTATTGTGACGTCTGTTTTACAACTTCGTGTCTGTTTACTTCCTGTCAACTCCACGGTAATGTTACCTTCACCTCTGACCTTGGTGATCAAAGTGCTTTTTCATCCCTAAGTTAGTTACTTTGGCTTTGTTTATTGTTAATAGTATTTCACCTTTTGTATTTGTATACAGTGTTTTTAATTATTTCAATAGCAAGGTTAGCCAGTCAGCTAGCCTAGCTGGCTACTAAAATGAAGAAAAGCACTGTCGAGTTAATGAAGGCAGTCAGCTCTACGGCCCTTTCCTGCTAGCTTTCGCAAAACGGTGTATTTCTGGCAACTCTTTAAAGCACCAAGTGTAACAAAGAGTAAACTAACGTTAGCTAAGCTCTGAAAATCAGGCTAACGTTGGTGCTCCACTAACAATACCAATTACACTACATACAAACACAGAATGGCGGCACAGGTTAGCATTGTCGCCTCACAGCAAGAGGGTTCCTGGTTCTAACCCGGGGTGGGGGAGCCCTTCTGTGCGGAGTTTGCGCGTTCTCCCCGTGTCAGCGTGGTACTCCAGCTTCCACAGTCCAAAGACATGCAGGGTAATTGGTGACTCTAAATTGTCCGTAGGTGTGAATGTGAGCGTGAATGGTTGTCTGTCTCTATGTGTCAGCCCTGTGATAGTCTGGTGACCTGTCCAGGGTGTACCATGCCTCTCGCCCAGTGTCAGCTGGGATAGACTCCAGCCCCCTGTGACCCCCAACAGGATATGAAGTTACAGAAAATGAACGAATGAACAAACACAAACGGTAAATCCTATCAACAATATGTACAAAGCTAACTGTGAAAAGTTAAGTAACTAACGTATGGATGAAGAAGTACATCCATATATATACAAAGGTCTGAGGCAAAGGTAACATTGCTGTCAAGGTGACAGGAAGTAAACAGACATGAAATTGTTAAAATGAATATACAGTACAACTTCAATTAAACACCCAGTCTCTCTTATTAGCCCGGTGTGGCTACACATTTTGACAAATAAACGCTTGTCTAAATTAGACGCCTGGTCTGGTTGCCAAGCAGTCGGATATATAAAACCAGGTTGTTGGCTACCTCAAATTATGTGTCCATTCCTCATCTACCTTGTAGGTTATTCATACTTTAGTCAGTAAGAGTTCATCAAAAGGGTGTTTCATAAAGTTGTGAGTATTGTTTTAATGGGGTAGTGTTGTTGTGTAAGTATGCCGGGTCCCGTAATCCTCAAGTACCATAATTCACTCTGTCTCTGATGCCCTCTGTCAGAGCAAGATCAAATGAAGGATTCATAACTGATATATACGGAAGCGTATTGCATTCACTTGACAAATAAAAGAAGCGCTGTTTTTCTGAGTAATTTTTTTCTGTTTATCTGAGTAATTTATTTATTTTTCTGTTTTTGGTGTAATATTTTCTGTTTTTCTGAGTAATTTTTTTCTGTTTTTCGGGGATTTTCTTTTCTTCTGTTTTTTTTTTTTGTGGTAATTTTTTTCTGTTTTTCGTGGTAATTTCTTTTTTTCTGAACGAGGAGACGAGATACTTCAAAATCTCGCGAGAAGCTCCCACCTGGCACCTGCAAGTGACCGCTGCCTGCGTTAAGTCGACAAACTAATGATAACACCATCTATATGACTTAAAGACAAGAGTATCTCCCAGTGTCTCAAACCCAAAACAAAGTAAAACTGGATTAAACTAAACAAGCGGGTCATGTTTGCTTCCATTATATCAAGCTCTCAAGAAAGAATGAAAGAGGCTGTTGTTATATCGCTCTCTTAACTCAGAAAAAAATACTCAGAAAAACAGAAGAAAATTACCGCGAAAAACAGAAAAAAAAAAAATTACAATGGAAAACAGAAAAAATTACTCAATAAAACAGATTTTTTTTTATTTGTCAAGTGAATGTAATACGCTTACGTAGATATATTATCTGAAGCCAGTTTTAAACAAGTAATATTTATACTGGTTTAAATAAACAATCTGATTGGATTTCCCAATCTTTGCTGCTTTGCAGTTTTGTGTGAAAGGAATTAAAGGCCTGTCTCACATAGATGCCTGTTATACAAAATATAGGCCCGTTAATTTCAGTGAGTTAAGCAAACAACAGCCCGGACTATTAATTGAAGTTTTATGGTATGTCAACCTACATTATGGAAGTAAATAGTTGAAAGTGTAGAAACATTATAACCTAATTGGGCTAGTTTAAAAAAAGGTGCTTTGATATTGGTAATAAGGTTTGATCATTAACCATTTTATTTTAAAAAAAATCATTGTTTCTGAGTTTTTATAATAACAATACCAGAAAACAAATTTTCTATCAATTCCAGATCTTTATTGGAAGTCTAGTGATCATCAATACCAGTCATGAGGAAAATACCTTAATGATGTTCTGCAGAACCTTCTCATTGATGACAGCTTTGTGGCACGCTGTTTTATGGTACAGGTCCACCACCACCTCCAAGGAGCGCTCAGCAAAGGGCACATAGTTTAAGGCAACCCATTCTGCCTGTAGAAGCAACAGGATTTAACAAGAGGAAAGAAAAACAGGAGTGGATGTTACTCAAACAAATCTGAATACTGTTATTTCTACTTTCTGGCAGAGCCACATTGAAAGCAGTTTTTAAAGGCACACTTTGTATAAGTACACAATTAGCACAGATATTTATTTGAAAGTTGCAGTGGCTATTAGTCTGCTTCAAGTTTTGTTAGGCTCATATGACCACAGCCGCAACGTTACAGCCAAACAAATGACTTGATGCTACAAAGTGTGTCTTTAAGAAATATAAATCGAACCACACGTGTGCTTATGAACAAAATCACCAAAGAGACAAAATCAACTGAAAATGGAACGGCACAGGGGCTGTGCACACAGAGGCATAACCACCAGTTAGTGGCAGGCAGAAAAGGGGGAGCATGGAGTGAGGAGACGCAGATGAGACGTGAAAGCCTACCATGCGGTGTGATATCTCATCTACCGCAGAGGGTAGGTCGTCACCATTCAGCACAGCTTAGTAAAACTATAGAGGGGGGGAGGGGTCTGAAGGAGATGATGGAACTCACCGGTGCAAAGAGCTGGATCTAAAATGGTTATCCAGTGAGTAGTCCCAAGAAACAGAATGAGAGAAGATCGCAATTAATCTGCTGTTTTAAGTTGTGTCGAATTTGCAGTGGCTTGTTGGTTAAATGAGATTCAATAACCAGGACTGATTTAGGGGAAAAAACCACACTCACTCTTAGCACCAAGGACATTTGAGGCAATCTGACAACCCTGTGTAAAAGCCAACAAGGCAATAAAGACCACCCATAACATCTGTTTAGCTGGGTGGGAATTTTGTTTGACCCTCGCACCCTTAAACAATTTAAACAGATTCAGATTCAGATGGGGCTGAGTCTAGACCCCACATGCAGCACTAACAGACTGGCAGTCAGGATTTGAGACATGAAATGTGTAACATTTCTTAGCATAACTGCACCAGCCTGCCTGTGTTTGACTGAGACAAACTCTCAGCATTCCCCAGACGACAAAGCACCTGCTGGATTTTGTAGGTATCCGCAACAACAGTGAGTAAGAAAGACACTGATAACAGAAGAATGCTGTGAAAAGACTCCTCCATTCTTGAGAAGAAATGAGAATTGTTTGTGGTTTTATAAATGAAGTAATCTTGCTCAAGATCACTGGGAAATAAATGTTTTTTTAATGAATCTGAACTGTGATTGAACTGGAAAGTAGTGAAACTTTCCTCTGGTGTGCTGCCAGCAAGATGAAGCATGAGGGAAGGAATATAAGGAAGAAATGGCTTTGGGCTACTGATGGGGGTCTTGAAGAACCTGTCAGTCTCATGAATGGGTCATGATAGGGGCTTCTTAAGACTAGACTGAAGGAGGGAGGGAGGAGGGGAGATGCCTCATGAACATCAAAGAAGAGGGATGATCTTGTTGAGAATGGCTGAAGAGAGAAGGGCAATGGATAACAGTGTACACCATCCAACATTTTAATGAAACAAACTGGAGAAAGGCACAAATTGCAAATGAAAAACCAAGCAGGTAAACAGCCAATTCAATTTTCCCCTACCTGGTTGTATTTGGCATTGGCCACGTGTTTGGTTTCCATCCTGCCGTACTGAGGAGGCTTGCAGGAGAACTCCACGAAGAGTAGCAGCTGTTCAAAGATGGCTGGGTACATGACCTGCAGGTTCTCCGGGCCCACACAGATGGCCTGCAGCAGGGAGGATAGGGAGGAACAAACACTGCTGACTTCCACCACGGGACTGCATGTTGCATAATTTAGCAGACTGACACATTGTTTCCTGGACCGAGTTGACACAAAATTGGAAGAAATAACTTTTGGTTGACAGGGGGAGTGAGGGTCTGGAATACACAGACATGGTATTCATAGCGGAGAGGACTGAGGTTGCTTTATCAAGTCAAAGTATCAATTAAAGATACAAGGAAATGTTCTGTCCTAATTATATTATGTGTATCATAATATCAGGCATTGCTGAAATGACTGATATGCTTCACATTTGTTGGTTCCAACTCATCAGATGAGAGGATTTGCTGTTTTTCTTTTTATTATTTGAAAAACAATTGTGGACTCAAAAACAAAACCAGCGATTTGAAGACATGCCCTCAGGCTCTGAGAAATTGTGACAGGCATTTTCTGACATTTTAAAGACTAAAAAAACACTATATTAATTACAGGGGTTAAAGCAAGAAAAAATTTTGTGCCTGAAATGTGGAGCATGGAAGATTTGTGTGCCTGAAATCTGAAATCTTTTCAGGAGCGGGGGGCTTGGTGTTGCGGTCACAAAATGAAGAAATAGAAATGTATGTGTTGCAAAGGAATGTGTTTATTATCAAAACGAAGAAAAAGATTATAGCTTTAGTAGTTTTTCAGATTAAACTTTTATAGCTTAATGAGTTTATAAATAAAGATTAAACTTTCAGTGGTTACCAGACTTTTTGACTTATAGCTCCTACATCTCTTTGTTGCCTTGGTGCTATTTATTTTTAGAAGCTAAATCATTTAGGCTGTTGGCAAAATTGTATCGCGCTTGATGTGAATTAAACAGACAGTTATGTCGAAATTTCGCCTCTGGTCAAGCATGTCATCATTGAAATGGATCATATAATGCTGTGGTGGTGACTTTAAAACTTCAGCATAGAGGACTTTTATCGCAACTTTGGTTTCTGTCTGCTTTCTGTTACCTTACCTTCAAAATTACCGCTGGCTTACTGGAGCCTCTCCTGCTCTGTCTGAGCTCTGTGTCTCAATGTGACATGATGTGAAAGCATGCACAGGCATCAGTGTTGATTGGCTATCACTTGTGCTGTGTAACCAATCAGAGGGGGCTGTAGGCGGGACATTGTTACAAAGCCCAGTGGAGTGGGGACTGCAGGTAGGGAGCAAGACGGCTGTATCAAAGCCAAAGGAGCGAGTTTTAAAATACATTTATTTGATTGGTTATCGATGAAAAAACATCCGATGCCGATTACGGTAAACAGTAGGTTGTGTTTACTCGCACAAATCATTTTCCTGGTTCGCACACATATATATATATATTTTGGAGTGAAATGCTCGCACTGCAGAGCACTTCTGCCCGTGCCGGACAGAAACTTCGCCACGCCAGAAATCCGGCACTGTGCCGGAGAACTTTAACCCCTGTAATTACATGCACAGAGCTCATAGAAAGGTGTAG